GCCCCAGCACAGATGCTTCACAAGACCTGACCTATCCTCACCTGCCCTGTGTACCTCACACCACTTCCACCCCAGGCCTTGCTGTGTTCCTGAGGAGTTTGGGGACCCCCACCCTTCAGGTTCATGCCAAGCTGGATGGGCAAGCCCTAATTTGGCAGTCTCTGGGTATAGCCCTCTGGCTTTCCTCGACAGGCTTCCCCCTCACTCTGAGCACACAGTCACTGCCCCCCAGTGAACACCTACACAGCCAGGTGGACACCTGTCCACACAGGTGCACATCTGCTCGCCCATTTGGAACCGACTTAGTAGGTGAATGTTTTCTTTCCGGCCTTCCTTGCAGTTCCTGGCTTCCAGCCTCCTCCTCCTCCCCCCGCCAGGACGAGGTCTCTGCGAGGTGGCCAGTAGAGGGGGCACTGGCACCAGTCCTGAGACTGTGCTGATAGCTGAACCTGAGACCCACCATGGTGGCTCCCACACCAGCATCCAATTTAGGAATTTTCATTATTAGCATGTTACATGGAGATACCTTTTTCTTTAATAAGTTTTTGTTTCCAGCTTCCAAGGTTGTGCGATGAGTTTTCATCAGTTCACATCATAGACGGGATCCTAAAAATGTGACTAGTGGCTTAATCACAATTTAAACTTCAGCATAAGGAACTGTTCATGAGTACTTTTTTAATAAAAGAATATTGCTCCCACCTTCCCTTAGGAGTAATCAGAACTTCAAGGTATATGAAATGCTAAAATTCACGTGCCCATGGGTTTTGACTTTCCTACGGCATTTCCTTAAAACTGCATCTTTGGGTGTAATTTTTCAGATAGCTGCTCATGAGAGTATTCCTAAATCCTCCCAGGCAGCCGCAGGTGTGTTCAGCCTTGACCGTAGCGTCCCCACACGTGAGCTCTGCGGGGGCGGGGCCTGTCATACTCTCTGCGGCTCTCCCTGGGACTTGGCCGCAGCGGACCATGGTCCTGGGACATGTGGGTGGACACACAAGCAGATGCGGCCCCTCGCCTTGTCTGCGCTGAATTCAGCATGCTCCACAGACCGACCCCCATGCCACACCTTCAGTGAGAACACGGCTGAGCACCCGGTCTGCAGGGCGGAAAGCACGCCAGCACCAGGGGCCCGCTGTCACTGTCAAGCTCCCTCCCAGCTCCCACTTCCCATGTTCCTGTGAGCTGCTGCCACACCCACTCACAGCCTCACATCCGAACAGCACACGGGGCTTCTGGAATGATCTCTGAAGGCCAAAGCATGCTTTAATGTGTTTCTTCCCTTTCACATGCCACTTCCACCCTCCTCCCTGAGAAATCTGGAGGATTTTATAGGCACGTAGCAGATCATCCTATGTCGTAAAATGAAAAGGCGGTGCTGGTCAGGGCTGACTCTGGTGCAGCTCTACAAGGGCGTGTTTCCAAAGATCAGCAGACTAGAGAGGTCCAAGTCAGCTGGACTAAGTCCCCAGGGTTTCCAGAATAAATTAGCATAAACCAGGCAGCTGCCAACAGCAGAAACTTCCCTCTCCCAGCTCTGGAGGCAGAAGTCTGAGGTCCAGGTGTGGCAGGGCCGTGCTCCCTCCAGAGGCTCCAGGGGAGGATCCTTCCTGCCTCTCCCAGCTCCTGGTGGCTCCAGGCGTTCCAGGGCTTGTGGCCGCATCACTCCAGTCTCTGCCTCCATCTTCACAGTGGCTTCTCCTCTGTGTCTGTCTCCTCTCTTCTAAGGACACTTGTCATTGGATTTAGGGTATAACCTAACCCAGGATGATCTCATCTTGAGATCCTTAATTTCTTCTGTAAAGATTCTATTTCCAAATAAGGCACCGTTTTCAAGTACCAGGGATCAGGATGGGGACATACCTTTTTGCAGGGACACCATTCAACTCATAACACCATCCAGTCCTTTGTCATGGGGCTGACTTTGAGGCAGGATGAACTGGGGTGTGGGCAAGGAGACTATTTCCCCATCTTCTGGGCATCATACTGTGGACTGAATTTTGTTCCCCAAAATCCCTGTATCGAAATCTTAACCCCCAGGACCTCAAATATGACTGTTTGGAGACAGGGTCTTTAAATAGATGATTAAGTTAACATGAGATCACTAGGGTGGGGCCCATTCCAATCTCACTGGTGTCCCTATAAGAAGAGGAAATGACACAGATACACACAGAGGGTCCACCATGTGAGGACACAGGGAGAAGACGGGATCTACAAGCCAAGGAGAGAGGCCTCAGGAGGAACCAGCCCTGCCACTCCTTGATCTCAGACTTCAACCTCAGGACTGGAGAGATGAACGTCTGCTGTCCCAGTACCCAGGCGGTGTTGCCTGGACTGGAAGCCCCCAGCCGAGGCTCCACTTCTCACGATCACCTCCTGTCAGTCAGGTTTTACGTGAGGTGCTTCTGTGTTCACAGTCGCGGTCAGGGTGGGCGCATTTGCACCGGAGCATAAGCTGTGAACATGCATTTGCTGCGCTCTTCGCAGACCTGTCTCAGAGCTCTGGTTGGCTTTTCACTCTGGCTTTGACTTGGGGCTCAACCCTCCAGGACTGGAAGCTTAGTGAGCGCCTGGGAGCCTATAAGGGGGCATCGGTTCCCCTGCCCAGTCTCAGGCCTCCTCTCCACTTCAGACCCAACCCCGCCAAGGCTGTGCCCCACAGGGTGTGACATGGACTGAGGCCACCAGGCGGGCTGCTTACGAGCCCGTTTCTTCCTTTGCAGCCATTTCTACGAGGATGGTCGACAGGATATTCTCGGGAGCTGTGACCAGGTATGCACAGCCCAGCCTCCACCCAGCACCCCCTCCTTTGACTCCAGCAGTTCACTTCCAAGAGGCCAGATCTCTCTCATTTCCTCCCTAATGTGAGCTGCTGGTGTTCTGACAGGACTGTCACACAAGGTCACGAGAAGGGGGGACACACGCCTGTCACTCAAGGTCCCATGTAAGGGCCAGTGCACATATCATGCAGTCCTAAGTAAAGGGGAACACGCATCTGTCACACAAGGTTCTCAATAAGGAGTGATATGCTCATCTCTGTTACTCGAAATCCTAATATAGGGGACACACACGTCATTGTCAGGTGAGGTCTTAAGTAAGGGTGGGCACACAGCCCAGGCCCCAGGTTGGTGTCCTCCTCAGGCACTGGCATCTGAGCACGCCCCGGAGGAGTGTCTGAGGCCTCGGGGACTGTGGCAGTGACTGGTTGGCTGCTCTAGACGTCCCTGGAGAACGGTGGAGCCTCTGCCCTGGCTCTCGAGGACCCCCCAGGCTCCTTGCAGGAGCAACCAAGTGGGAAGCAACCAAGTGGGGAGGGACTGTGGGTGCCCATGCCCGAGCATGTTGGAAGGGACCCCACTGCTCCATGCTTTTCTCCCCAACATGCATCTGTGTCTGCATGCTGCGCCTGAATCCAGAGGCAGAAAAGTACAGAAGGCAGGCAAGATTAGCTACGCGGACTTTGTCTGGTTTTTGATCTCTGAAGAGGACAAAAAAACCCCAACCAGGTAGATGTTCAGGGACTCCTCTCGTAGGAGTTGGAAGCGTGTGCTCAGCAGTCACCCCATGTGTGCACTGCCCACCTGATTGCCTGCCCAACGGTCAGTCCCAGGCAGGGTTGGCCTGGTGGGGGTGACCTGGGTGGGGTCCACCTGGGGAAGGGTGTCTTTGGCGGTCTGGCTGACAGGTCCGCCGCGGTCTCAGCATAGAGTACTGGTTCCGCTGCATGGACCTGGACGGGGACGGGGCGTTGTCCATGTTCGAGCTGGAGTATTTCTACGAGGAACAGTGCCGCAGGCTGGATAGCATGGCCATCGAGGCCCTGCCCTTTGAGGACTGCCTCTGCCAGATGCTGGACCTGGTCAAGCCCCAGAATGAAGGTAACACCCCTGCAAGGGGACGTCACGGGGGAGGAGGTGTCTGTGGTGAGGGGACATCCAGTGTGAGGGAATGCTCGGGAGGACTTCCCTGGGTGAGGGGTCACCTGAGGGGACATCCCACCGTGAGCAGGCATTTGGGTGAGGAGACATCTCAAGTGAGTGTACCTCCCCTTGTGAGGGACTGTGGTTCCAGGCCTGGTCATCCAGTCTGTGTTGACGCAGTCTGTGGCATGTCCCAGCCTCAACCCCTACTCCTCCCCAAACTCCCTTGAAGGTCAAAGGGTCTGTAGGGAACTTTCTGTCAGCTGCTGCCTCCATCCGTTTTGTGCTCAGTGTTTTGGAATCCAGGTCTGGGGATGTTTAACTTTAGAAATCGTTCTGAGGCAGCGGGCACAGGCCACCTGCAGCCGGTTCTTCCTAACCCTGATTTTCTACTCGTGTTTAATGACCCCTTGAGGAGCTCGGGTCCTGGAGCAGATCCCTGTCATCTCAGATCCAGGGACGCTCCCTGGTGGCCTGCATCTCCCTGTTCTGTCTCTGCACCCCGTCATCCTCCCTGCCACACAGGACCCCACGGCTCTCCTCCGTGCCCGTGGCCTTCCACGCTTCAGGCCATGCCCAGAACCACCTCGTATGTCTGTTCCTCACGTCAGAGTGTGTCAGAGCACAGTGCTGTGCTGCCTCCTCGAGGGCAGGTTATCACACGTGCCAGCACACACAGTACAGACCTCTGCACACGCAGCCGGGCTCATTTTGTCTTTGAAATGCTCCGTCTTCCGCAGGGAAGATCACGCTCCATGACCTGAAGCAGTGTAAGCTCGCCAACGTCTTCTTTGACACGTTCTTCAACATCGAGAAGTACCTTGACCACGAGCAGAAAGAGCAGGTTTCACTGTTCAGGGTGAGTGTGGCAGGGCACGCGGGCTCACCGCTGCCACCTGTGCCACGTCTGCAACACATGTGCTTCCTCCAGGAGAGCGAGAGCGACGGCCCCGAGCTGTCAGACTGGGAGAAGTACGCCGCCGAGGAGTACGACATCCTGGTGGCCGAGGAGGCTGCGGGCGAGCCGTGGGACGAGGGGTGAGTGTGGGACGCGGGAGCACAGGGCAATGAGGTGGTGAGGATGGGAGGCAGACAGCACGGCGTCCTGGCCTCGCCTGAGTGTGCAACTCAGCCCCGTCCTGTAGCTCCTGCGTGGGATCTCGTAACCCTGGCTGCAAGTTGGTTGTTTTTATTTTTTAAATTTATTGAGTCAAAATTGATTATCCATATTTTGGGGGTTGAACATTGATATAATGATCAAATCAGTATTACTAGCGTATATATTGTTACAAATCGTTATTCTTTATGCCCCTTGCCCAATCTCTCCCCATCCCCCATTCCCTCCCCCCTCTACCCTAGATTTCTTTTCTCCTGGTTACTCTTAGTTTGTTGCCTAAATCATCAGGTCCCCCCAAATTATCATAGAGCAGATGCTGCTCCTGTCACTCTGGAATGGGCTTTGTGGAGAGAGACATCCTCTTTTCTTTGTCTCTGCTGGTGACTCCAGTGGCTGGTGGACCATCTGTGTGGGGGTTGTGGTGTCTAGTCGCTTTCGCAGCTGCTGCCAGTTCTTGCACGTGAGGCAAAGAAGGGGGAGACTGAGTCAAGGCACATGTTGCTAATGATGTCCATCCTTACTCCTTGGCTGACACCGAAGGGTCGGAGGTGGGCAGCCTGCCTGGGGCCGGTGGCCAGTCATGGGCCCCATTTCTACCTGAGACCTTGGAGACACCGAACCACCCAGAAGGGCTTCTTGGTTTCTTATTAAGTTAAAGGTTCTTTATAGCTTCTGGGAAAAATTCATTTATCAGATAGGTGTCTTTTCATTCTCTTGATGTTGTCTCTCAGGTGTTCTTAATTCTGATGACATGCCACTTATCAATTTGTTCTGACCGTGCTTTGGTGTCATGTCTAAGAAATCACTGCCTGATCCACCGCTGCAAAGGCTTTCTTCTACAAGTCTTGTTTTACGTTTTCCACCTAGGTCCGTGATGGGTTTTGAGTAAATTTTCCTGTGGGGTGTGAGGCGTGAATCGAGGCTCAGTTTTTTGCATCTGGATGTCCAGTTGTGCCATTTTTGCAAAGCCATTGAATTGCCTTGGTGTCGTTGTTGAAACTCCATCGACCTCGTGAGCGTAGTCCATTTCTAAACTGCCTTCACCTTCTGAGGTCCACGTGTGTCCGTTCCCCAATAAACACTGTGTCGAGTCCGCAGCCTCATCGTGAGTACCAAAGTCACATGGTGAGAAGCCTCCAGCCTTGGCCTAGCGCAGGATGGTCTGGGTATGCGGATTTTAGATGCACCTGTTGTTTTCTTTGTTAGAGGGTTTGGGGGGAGGGGGGATAGGGTTTTTTTTAAGCAGCTGGTGGGTACAGGGATCCGAACCCTTGACCTAGGTGTTCTCACACCACACTCTAATCAGGTGAGCCAGTGGCCAGCCCACTGTCGCTTTCTGCGAAGGCCTGTGGAGACATTTGTGGGAACTGTGGGTCTGTAGGCCGTGAGAGTCAGCATCGTGACCACACGGAGACTGTGCCTGTCTGCGACCCCCTCTGTGTGGCCAGCTGTAGAGCATGCAGTGACTCTGCAGCCACAGGGTGAGGAGGTCCCGTCAGCACTTCACTTCTCTTTCTGTGTTGCGCTGGCCGTGCTGGATCTCGGCCTTTGTTGTAAATTTAAAATAAGCTTGTCTACTACAAAAAACCATTCTGCTGAAGGCTTGAATGAGATGCTGATGACTGAATACAGCCACGCGGGGACAGTGGGCCACTCCACAGACACGTGTGTTTCTCCTTTTACTTAGGTCTCCTCTGGCTCCATCTGTCATCGTCATGTAGCTTTCCCTGTACAGACCTCACATGCACTAGGGGTCCTCAACAAGTTCACAGAAGTGTTCGTTTATCTTTGGAGTTCCATTTTCCACAGACTCGTTGAACTAACTTCGTATTTCATGAGAGTTCTGTTTGAATAGTTCATAATTTTGGGCATTGTAAAAGGTACTTTTTAAATTCCCATTTCCAGTTGTTTGGGCTGTAGAAATATGGTTTATTTGCGCTTATCGATCTTGTGTTTGTCTGCACCTTTATTAAATGCATTTATTAGCTCCAGTAGTTTTTAGTAGGTTTTGGGGGGTTTTCTACATGGACAGTCACATTGAGTGGGCTGGTTTTATTTCTTCCTTTCTGCTCTCTGCATTTTATTTTTCTTGCCTGTTGCACCACCCAGAACCTCCAGTGCGACGTGGAGGAGGAGGGATGGGGACAGCCTTGTTCCCGGCCTCAGGTGGAAAGCAGCTGTGAGGGTTCCTGCAAACGTCCTTTCAGCTTGGGGACCTCCCCTTCTGTCCCAGTTTGAGACTTTGTCATGAAGGGATGCTGAATTCTGTCAGATGCATTTGCTGAAATAGTTTCTTTCTGCAGCCTGATGCCACACGGAATTACAGCGAGTGGTTTTTGACAGTTGAACCCTTCCCAGGATAAACCTGCGCGGTTGTGACGTCTTTCTCGTAGGTTAGTGGATTACACTGGCCAAGCTCACCTGTGGTCTGTTCTCGGGCTACTGTTGGCTTTAGTGTCGGGGCTGCCGGCCTCGTACAGGAACAGACGGGCTTGCGCTTCCTGCAGGGTTCGCGTGGCAGACGTGTTATTTCTTCCCTGAGTGTTTGGCAGAATTCACCAGTGATACCACCGGGGCCAGGAGTTTTCCTTGATGGATGGGTTTTCATTCTTATTTACCATCTTTATTAACTGTGCGTTTCAAGCATACATTTGCGTCCAGGAGGCCTCCCCCACAGTGGGATAACACGTGCCTCCATCACCCTGAAGGTCTCCTTCCCTACTCCCCGCAGACCTGTAGGTGAGCTGGCATTTTCTAGAATCTTAGACACCCGTTTGGAATTTGTCCTCTGGGACTGGAGGTCTTTCTGTGAGAAGTTCAGACCCTGGGCTAGGTTATCCCTTCCTTCTTGAGTGGTTTGTGTCTTCTGTTCATCTAAGTGTGTTATTGGCCATGGTAGTCCCGGATTTTAGGGTTAATATCTACAGAATCCACACCAATCACCACCTCCCGTGGTCCTCATATTGATTTATCTTTTATCTGTTTCTGCATTGGTATGGCCGGGAGGGTATCAATTCTAGATCTTGTCACAGCACCAGCAGTGCCATCCCTCTGCTCTGCTGTTGGGTTTCCTGTCCTGTCGGTGTCTGTGTGACCTTCCTTTCGGCCGCTCACCTTCTCCAGTTTCTTTGGGGAGAGGCTGATGTCACATTTCTCTTGAGCGGGCACCGACTGCTCTGTGCCAGTCAGCACCGTGGGTTTACCTTGTGTTTTCACTTGTGTTCGGCTCAGGATACCTTCCTGGGTTGTCGGTCCCCACTCCCTGCACCTTTCCTGTGTCCTTCACCCTGCTGCACCTTGTAGAGCAGCTGTAGCCACCAGACCTGCCCTGTTGTATCAACCCCCACCTCATGGCCATGCCCACCCCAAGTTCTTCTCCACCACATGTGTCTCCCCTCCTGACGAGGCCCCTTGTCCCCTGCCCAGCCACCGTGTCCCCCTGCCCATGGTGATGACTGGCTTTGAGTCCAAAGCGTGCAGTTCATGGTCACCATGCCCTGGTCACCGTGTGGCTGCCCTGCCCAAGTTCACTTCTGCTCCTTCACGGTACAGCTCAGGCCCACCAGGGGAGCCGGGCACTGGGCAAGGCAGGAGCCCTGGAGGAGGGCTTTGGAGGGTTGGCGTCTTCACTAGTTTCCGAGAGATGTCAGGACATTTCCAGTGTAGAGGCACAGGGAGTACTTGTCATCACCCGTAACAGAAAGGAGGTGTTACCGTCCCTTCAGGGTGAGGATTCTGTTCAAACTGTTGTGGCATCACCTGGGCAGCCTGCATTTACGTCTTGACTTTGCCTAAACCAAGTTGAGTCTTACTCTTTATGAACAGCATCTTCACTGTCACATGGGCTCTCACCATCTGATCGGCCACCTGTGGACAGACCAGTCCAGTTTTAAAACAGGCCACACCCACTTAGGGTTTGGAGGTTTGCTCTGAAAGAAGCACCATCATTAAGCTTTGCGGGACAGAGTCACCCAGTCGCCACCACTGCAGAGATGCTGAGTGTACAGCTGTGCCGACCCCGGGTAGCACCCCATCCCATGTGACCCCAAGGGTGGGCTCCTTCTGCTGGTGATCCTCAGGGAGGCTGCCCCACCACTGAGCGTCCACACAGGTGGCTTCACGGTGGTGCAGTGCATCAGTGCATCTCAGGGAAGACTCTGGTGCCGTCCCGCGGGGGGCATGAATGTACATCTACGACTCAGGAGAGGGCCCCACGCTGTGAGCGCATCCAGGGGCCCTCCCCTGTCCTGCCTGCTGTCCCCTCATCATGCCTCTCCTTGCAGATTCGACACAGAGCTCAGCCCCGTGGACCAGAAGCTGAGCACATTGCGGTCCCCGCTGTCCCAGAGGCCCTTCTTCGAGGCACCATCCCCCCTGGGTGCTGTAGACCTGTACGAGTATGCCTGTAGGGACGAGGACCTGCAGACTTTGTGACGCACCCAGGGATCATGTGCGGTGGCCCACGCCAGGGTGATCGCTGAGATGCACCAGTTTTGGTGTAAAAAAACCATTTAATCGTTGAGCTGTCTTTTGTGGAAGATGAAGTGCATTTGTACGGAATGATAAATTTCTATTTATTCATACGACGCTAGTCACAGATGTCATTGATGGCGCAGATTGATTCCTACCTGACCTTGAGGGGCCGACGCTGGCTCAAGAACTCTGCAGTCTGGCACGTCGGCCCCAGGGTCCCTTGTAAACTGGGACAGGCTCCTGTGCTAACACCCTGGGCCCCACCCACACTGCAGCTTTTGGAGTGGAGGTGTTGACTTACCCGTCCTGGCCAGCAGGTCACCCCAGGATCTGGCTGCTCTGGAGAGGGCCACAGTGATGTCCTCTGCCACATGCTTGCTCTTCGGCGCTGGGCGCATGCCACTCTCTCCTGGGGTCGTCACGAACATTCCATGAGCACCAGATGGGCCCAGCTGGCCACACCCGCATCTCCCACGTGCGGGGCATGGGCAGGGAACCCTGCAGCGCCTTCATTGGGATGTTTTTACATAAATGTACAGAAGTATGTAAAGGTAACCTTCATTTGCTGTGTATAGCGGTTTACGAATGTTTTATGTGATCACGTTTGTATTTTCAAAAAAAGAATTTAAGGATTTTCAGTCAGGAGCACAGTTCTTTCAGCCACAGCCCAGGGACACAAACATGACATGCCACGTGGACTCGGGTCCGTTTACGAGGCCGTCAACATTTCACAAACAGTAACAGCAGATGGTGATGCTGCCTGGGGACACAGCCCAAGTCCAGCATGTTCGCGGTGTGCCCCCCTCCCCTGGCGCTCCCAGCCACGGGGGTCCACGTCCCCGGAAGCCAAGGCTGGCAGAAAGTGGGGCCGTGGCGGGAAGGGGTGGGGCGGCAGCGTCCCGGGGATGGAGGGGGTGGGGCTCACATGGTTTGGCCCCAAGATGAGGTTTAATGGCCTGGACATTCCCACAGGGACATGCCCCCAACAGCTCTGCCTCTATCCATGCCTGCTCCCTGGCCCCACCTGGAGTGCGCGGCAGGTGAAGCCATCACGATGACAACCACAGGGAGTGGAGTTTGTCCCTCCTCGAACAAGACAAGACACTCCCAACCCAAGGCATCCCCACATGACAGGAGGCCCCCATGGCCAGCATAGCAGGAACACGCATCACAACTTGGGGTGCGTGGACCCCAGGCCACCCTCCTGTGAGGCCACTGTGCCCCTCTACCTGTGCTTGGCTCCACAGGCATGCAGGGCAGGGCAGGGCCGGGGTTCCCTCCAGAGCAGCCTGTGTGGAGGCAGCCGGTTCCACCCAGCCATGGAACTGCTGGCCGTGGAAACAGGACGGGGCCGTGAATGACACAGACTCCCAACTTGTCCCTGTGGGGTGTGGGCTCCTCAGAACCCTGGAGGAAGAGACAGGGATAGGTGCCCAGAACGGAGACACGTGGACACACACACATGGGATGGACAGACACAGGAGGCACCTTCCACAGGATGGGCTGGGCACCCTCGCACATTCCCAGTCACAACAGGGCAGCTCCCTAAGAATTCCCAGAGGATGGGGGGGCAAGGGCCTGGGCCTGCAAGTGGACGGGAGTGAGTCCTGTGGAGCTGGGGCTCCCTAACTGCCCCCCAGCCACGTGGGCCCACTGAGACCAGCAGGACACACACCGGGCCCTGCAAGGATGGAATTACGGAACCAACTGCCTCGGAATCCTGAGGACCCCTCGTGAGCCCAGAAACTCCCGTGAGCCTGGAAACCCGAGGTCAGAGCTTGGGTCAGCTGGGGGGCTGGGCTTCCCAAGGGTCAAGCCAGACCCTGGAGATTGTCTACTCTGAGGCCCCATGACGTCTGACCCCGGGACCCACAGCCCCCTGCGCTAGGCCCCATGACATCTGACCCCGGGACCCACAGCCCCCTGCGCTGACCATGGAAGGAAACTGCTCCCACTCCACGTGAGGCACGAGGCCATGACATCACAGAGCCCCCTCTGACATGGACAGCACCTGGCTGGAGGCCCCCACCTCCCCGACTGGTGCCACCCCCACTGTCTGATGTCCCTGTACGCTGCTCCTGCTGATGTCCTGGTTTACCTACCATCACCCCCAGAGGGCCCACCCAGACTCACCGAGGCCAGGATGTGCTCCACGATGACATGGTCACTGGAGGGGTCAGAGGACAGGCTATCCACATCTTAGATATTCCTGTGGGGGAGACAGATCACGGCTCCATAGTAGCTGCACCTGGGCATGCCTCAGAGGGACCTACCACCTCGTCCTGGGCATTCCCTCACCAAGAGCCTGTGTCAGAGTGGGCCAGGGGCTCTCCACAAACACGTGCCCACTGGCCCCAGACTGTGATGCAGGGTGGCATCCCACGGGGGGCATGTACTTCTGCACCTCAGCCCAGGCAGGTCTCCCTCCTGGTAGCTGCCAGGACATCTCCTGCCTGCAGCCACCCAGCCCAGCTCACTTTTGTGAGTGACTGTCCAGGGCTCCCTGGACCCCAGATCTCATGGGCTACCCCTTGGGGAGCTTCGAGGGGATCCTGTCAGCCCCTGGGTATTAGGCCCAAAGAGCATTAACTGGGCAATGGCCGAGCACGGGACAGCCCGGGACAGAGTGGCTCGAGCCCCATCCCAAAAGGTGGCTGTGAGGGGCTGCTGGCTGTTCTCTCTCACGAGGTCCCCACCCCTTCCTGCAGCCCCGAGGTCCAGGCCGTCCCGGGCTGCTCTCCACTGGGAGTGAGCCAGTCTCCTTGAGGCGGGTGGGTGAGGTGGGGGTGGGCACCATGCACTCTGCCTGGGACACAGCAAAGGGCCTTCCAGGAGAGGAGTGACAGGCACGGCGGGTCCCCAGGGGCTCCAAGAACAAGGGGAGCATGGCAGGTTCTGGGGTTCCATTGTGGTTGACCCATGACAAGTGAGCACAAAGTGAGCCTGGTGGGTTCTGGGGGATTCTGGTGGGGGTAGGGGCTTCATAGCACCACATAAGCATGGCACGTTCCAGAAGGTTCTGGTGGCTGCAGTATGTGGCAAGCCACTGTATTCAGGTGTTCTGCCATATACGAGGTGACAGGGCAGGTCCCAATGAATTCCACTGCGACTGCAGCAGGAGGACGGAGCCACCCAGGGCCACTAGAGGTGAAAGGACACCAGGTCCCTGCTGAGGGACTGAGGTGGGAGAAGAGTCAGGAGCAGGAGTCACAGAGGGTTGGGGCCTGTACAGCCAGTAAGAGATGGAGGCGGGAGGTGGGGGGCAGGGAGGAGACAGACAGAGGAGGACATGACGGGGATGGACACGAGAGCAAATGCAGACAAGAGATGAGGACGGGGAAGTAGGGGAAAGAGGAGGAGGCCGAGGCCCTCAGGAGCCCACGGGGTGCTGCCCCAACACCCTGTTGACGCAGGCGCCCTGGAGGCTGAGGGAGAAGGTGACACAAGGAGGGGGGGCAGAGCTGCGGTGGCCGCGTCCCCCCAGGTGGGGCAGGCCCAGGAGGGTGGGGCAGGCCCAGGAGGGTGGGGCAGGCCCAGGAGGGTGGGGCAGGCCCAGGAGGGTGGGGCAGGCCCAGAGGGAGAAGAAAGGGACCTGGTGGCTGTGAGCACTGAGACGGGCAGGTCAGTGGACCCTGCAGGACGCAGGCCAGCACCCCCCACCCCACCCCACCAGACTCTCCCTAATGCTGCCTCAGCAGCCACACAGCTCTGGGCGCACACACAGCCATCGCTGGGGATTTTGGGGCCCAGTGTCCCCCACCTGTGAACCCTTGTGTTTCCCAGCTTTGCCCTGTGCACTCTGCACCCCGAGCTCCGTCTCCTGGGACTTCCAGCCTCCCTCGGACCCCCATCCCCCCGCCTTTGTCCTCAGCCTCACCCCGAGCTGTGGCCCCCGATAGGGTTGACCCCCCTGCAGCAGGCTGGGCTCCAACTTGGGAGGCGCCTCCTGCCCACCCTCCCCCTGCACAGTCTGTGCCCCACAGGACAAGGCCCCCACACACACCACCCACCGGTCTCCCGCCACCTCCTGGGCCTTGCTGTTCCCGCCCCAGCCTCACGCTGGAGGAGCAAGAGGTGACGGTGGCCCAGCGTGGAGGGTGCGGTGTGTGCACGTGGACGTAATTCAGCTGCGAGAGCTGTGGCCGGCGCTGGATGCAGAAACGAGGCAGTCGCAGCCGCCCTGGGTGACAGACCCGGCCACGCCTGGCAGTTCCTGGAGGAGACGCCACTTCCAGGACGCAGGCGGCAGCAGGTCCTCAGCCTCTGGGGGCAGGGCGTCTGGGGCGTGGGGGGTGGGGAGGAGGAAGGAGGACAGAGGGGGAAAGAGGCCTGAAATCATCCCCCAACTCGGTGCCCACAAGGCGGCCTCGGCCCAGCTGAGACCATCTGCAGCACTCGGAGCACTGTGCGGACGGCACCTGTATCTGTGCCACCCAGGCCAAGGGGTACACACCCTGCACGGTGCAGGACACTCGTCCACTCCCTCCCTGAGGCTGGAGCGGAAGCAGCCTCCAGGGCGGCACAAACCCTGCCTGGCACAACACAGTCAGCTAAGTCAGAGCCAGCAGACGGTGTCGGCAAGAGCTGACGTTCACAGGTCGGGATGCTGCCGCCTTGGCTGCTGCGACGGGGCTCCAACCCTGTCCCCGGGACCCATCAGCAGAGTCCTTGAAGGATGTGGAAGCCCTATGGCCCTGCAGCACTGGTGGCTTCTGTCTGAGCCCATGAGCACCACCAGGACAACAGGGCCACCACCCAGGTACCCCAAGGGCACCACACATGTCAAGGCTTGCTCACAACACACCCCACTCAGGCCCGGTGGGACCAGCACCTCAGGTCTGAGTGATGCAGCAACCTTCATGCCCCGTAGCCCAGACTTGCTCAGGGCGGGCCCCTGGGTCGCTGTGCACGCTGGCCTGGATATCTGGCCCCCTCTGTGCACACCGACATCCTGCGGAGACCCTCACCTCCCCGTCCTGCCCTTGGGGCAGCTGCCCTCACCCTTGCACCTGGTCCCATGATAGCCCTGACCACACATGGGACTCTACCCATCTGTGCTCCCCAGGGGGACAGGACCACCCTGTCTCCCTAGAGCGGCACGGCTTGTCCTCACCCAGAGCAGCAGAAACAGCGACATGAGATGAGAGGCCAGATGTCAGTGGGGGAAGAAGACCCTGACGTGCAGGGACAGTGGGCCCAACCCCAGATGAGACCCGGGAGTGCAGGACCCTGCCCAGCAGTCCAGGCAGGCTGGATGCTGCCTGTGGTCTGTTTAAAGCTGTGGACCCCAGCACAAGGTGGCAGCCCCCCCCCCCACACTGAGTCACAGAGCCTCCGAGCCCCTAACACCCAGCAGGGCCGCTGTCACCAGCACTCACACGGCCCCACGCTCCCACCAAGGGATCTTGCAGGAAAACTCGCTGGCCAGCAGCAGGGAGCTGATGTTGGGGAAGTGGCTGTCCCCCTCCCCAGCTCCAGGCCTCCGAGAAGGCCAATGCAAACACGGCGCCACGCCTGTCCATGGCACAGGTGTCAGACCAGGAACAGAGGCAGCGTGGGGCGTGAGGAAATGGGCCCCCAACTGCGGATGAGGCAGACGGCGTCCCAGGCCCTTGGCAGGCAGAAGCCCAGGTCAGGG